TGTTAACTTGCACCGACTATAATTAAATATAAAAAATATTACAAAAAAGTGACATAAAAAAATATTACTATAAATACTATATATATAAGTATAAATGTATTTAATATATAGTTATATGTAATTTAAATATTAATTTTGAATAAAATTTAATAACAATTGTAAATTAGACTAACACTTTTTAGGTATATACTAATATATTAGGGAAAAAAAAGACATTTTATATCTAATATTTTTAAAAATAACAAAAAAATATAATAACATGAACAATTATTTAAAGTTAATTAATAATAATTATTAAAAGTATTTTAAAAAAAAATTAAGGATATAATGATTCATACTTATAAAGATAAAAAATAGTTATATAAAGAAATATTTATTTTATTAACGTGTGTTTAGGTGATTAGATGAATATTTTTTTTAGTGATTATAATATTTAATAATTTAGAATGGAACCGCCCACGGCTGAAATTATATATTAAAATAAGAGGAAAAAGCGTGGCTGTCAAGAGCTACTTACCCCACGTGTTGCGATTTAACAGTGTCAACACACACGTGTATCCCTCACCATGCCCACGCTGTTGCTGCATTGCAGCCTTCGCCAACTTTCGCTCTTCCCATATCACAACCTTCCCAGTCCCACTTCCACAATATGCCCACCATTTTTCCTTTTAATTACACCATGCCATTTTCACCATTTTATTTAATTAAATATTCCAGAAAACGGTAACATTTCATTTGTTTATGTTGGGGACAACTCATTGCTCCAGTCTCCGATGGCCGATCTTAATGTGTCCATCGTTCCCACCTCGTCTGCGCCGCTGACTCTGTCTCTACGGATGCTATTTCATTAGTTTCAACATTATAGAGTCAAGGTCAAAGTCTTTTAACATCTAACAATACCTCCAAAACTTATAAAATTCAAACATATTCTAATAATTAAAAAATCTTTTAAATCAATAAATAGTAAATAAATTATCTTCAAATAAATATTATAAAATAACCTCATCATATCTAACAAAATTAATAAATACTTAAATCTTTTCAAATATAATAAAATTTTAAATATATTATTAGATATTTATTTTTGACTACGTGTATGTGTGATAAAAAAAATTACTTTAATAAAAAAAATATACTTGATAAAAAAAAAAGACGAAGTCTCGGAAGAAGATTAGACCCAACCCCAACCCCACGCCCATGCCAGCGGTCTCATCTCACCGTCTCAATCTCAGAATGTACACACTTTTTTTTTTAGGGACGACAAATATACTCGTATTCACGAGTATGAATATACTCGATACATAACAAGAACGGGAACGAAAATGAAAATCACATATTTAATAGGTACAAAAACAGGGACGAGAATGAGTTTAACTCACAAGAACAATAACGAATATCATAAAACTCATACTTGACCCGTCCCATTATCATCCCTACTTCTTTTTTCATCTACAAGACTACAACCGCTTAATTCTATTTTATTTCTATCTAACATTCTCTTTTCTTTTCTGCAAAAACAATTCTCTATTATTTTAAATAAGAGAGATGTGTAATGTATCTACACACCATAAATTAAATTACGTTAAACAAATTTAAAAGAAAACTATATATTTATAAAATATTAGTATGAATGTAAGCTTGAGAGAATAAATCACGTTAAACATATTTGTATAATTTATTTATTTATTCTTTGTTCTCTACATTATAGAAAAAGAAAAAAATTTGTTATCAACACCATCTATTTTCCTTCTATATTTTCTAACTATAATAAATAATTAACAACGTACTAAAAATATATTTTAATGCTTCATTGGTCGTTTAAAATGATAATTACAATGAAAGATTTTTTTTAGTAAAATGTCAAATGGAATAAAATGGACGGAGTATAATTTAAGAAAAAATGGATGATATTATATTAGTTAATAACATGTATTCCCCTAAAAGTAAGTTATTAAATCCTAGTTGGTCGTAGAAGTCGTCGTTGCATTGCATGTCGCGTCCGCAAAATTCGAATAGATGAAGTTTGACACATAACTAAAAAGTCTAAAATCACTAAAAAAAATATCATTTGCCACAATTTTTTTTAGTCTTTGTTAGTATAAATATATTAATATTTTAGATGAAACCGAAACATATTATGTTAAATTTAATATTATTTCTATTTAAAATATATTAAATATAAAATAAATTTATATGTACTTTTTTCTTTTTCATTTATTTTATCTCATCCTAATTAAAGACGATTCTTCCTCTCTTGCTCGTTCAAAGTCCGACGCCGCGTTCTCATACTGAACAAATAAAAATGTGCACACTATGCAATTAATATTGCAATGCAAGTAAACAACAAACAAGAAGAAAAAATTTCAGATATATATATAAAAAAAGACAAAATAATAAATTAGCATAGACCTTCTTCTATATCGCTATCTACGGTCAAAATCAACCGCATGCATGTCTAAATGGTTTATTAATAATCCACAAATATAGAAAAATGAAAGAATTTCAAATGGTAGGTTTTCTTTAAAATCAGTCAAGTTTGGAGAATGCTATTTGGAAGGTACGCAAAAGCACTTTATATATATAGGGAAAAAGAGAGTGTTATTTACAATATAATTGATGAAAATAATAATAAACTTTCAAATAGCATTAAAAACAAAAAAAAAAAAATATTAAAGAAAAAGTATGAAGATGCTAGGGTAATAGATTGAAGCATTGCTTTTTTTAGCAGCCCTGGAAAGAAATGTTCGTTCTTCTTTTGAACCGTTCTTTCTTTACTTGCTTATGTACTTACCAAGTCAACTTCTCTGAGTTGCTATAAGGTAACGTTACTTCAAACACAGATACAAGAATATTTCCAAACATAAAGTAATAAAAGAACATTTTTATAATTTAATTTCATACTTATTATTAGCATTTTTTTAAAATAAGAATGCTCGTGTGTTTAAATTTTATTTATTGTGAGTATCAAATTTCTTTATATACTACTAGAAAATTATTAGAATTAGTGGTAGAATAATTTTTCGTTATTAAATTTGATCGTTAATTCATTAAGTTTTAGTAATGATATATATTTTTCATGAGATTTTATTTATTAAATTATTAACTATTTATAAAATATAATTTTGTAATTAATATTTTCAAAGGTTAAACTATATATTTTAATAATATGTTATATTCTATAGAAATAACATTAACTACAAGTTAAATATATTGAATACTCAACTTAGTTGGTACAGTAGAATCAAAACTTAATTTCAAATATTGTTTTTCATTTACCTCCCCTTTACCTGAATTTAATGATAATCACTCATATGATTACTTTTAAAAAAGAAACTAGCATTGTACAATTCATCTGATATATCTAAATTAGTAATGAGATATTTCATCTCTTGAATTTTAATTTTTTTTTTTTTTATAAAAAGAAGGAAAATTTGTTATTCACACATATTTGTACATTGCAATAACTCCCTTGTATAGAAAACTCGTAAAACTGAATTACAACTAACATGTTTGACCCATGTGTTATTTTGGTAATTCTAATCTCACAAAGATGGTTCACAGCATTTTTTGTTTTGTTTGAGATAATAGTGATATGTTGATTAATGATGAGTGAACTAATATCGTAAATATATAAATGGAAAGTTATGAGTACCCATATCCTAAATAAATTATTATTGGCCCGATCACAATGCTTCACATAAAAAGTGCAAGAAAATAAATGAATTGATTTAAGGCCTTGAATTCAAGTTAGTATATAGAGACTCAATGAGGAAAGTACGCAATAGTCAAATTTTATTTTTTATGACACTAATGTATGGTTTATGTTGAATGCCTTGTACACTTGAATATTGCCGTTAAAATCATGCAATTTTTAATTAGGAGCATCAGTGATGTTTGTCATCAAATTAAAATCGTTCAATTGAATATTGGGAACTTATTCCAGACAAATCACTATTTATTCGATACACAATCAATGCGTGTGATTGCCCCTCGTCGCAATTAACCATCGTTGATTTGGGGTGACCCTTCCTTAACCCTCTAATTTCCTTTGACCTGTGCCTAAAATGAGGGGTGTAAGCGAGTTGAGTTAGATAAGATTTAGATAAATTTATTATTTAATTTAATTAAAATTTAATAAATTAAACTGGGATGGATTTGTTTAATATTTTTTTTTAAAATTTAATATAATCTAACTTAATTACAAATGAATTGGATTGAGTTAATCAGATCAATATAATTATATTTATTTATTTTTATAAAAATTTAAATATTTTAAAATAGATGTAAATCATTTAATATATTATTATAAATTTAATGTTATAAATTTATTAATTTGTTATATTATTATTAACTCAAAAAACTAATATTAATTAATATAAAATAAAATTTAAAATAAATATATTATATTATTATCATATTATTAACTTAAAATATAAAACTTGTTATTAAGTAAAAGTAATAATGAGTATTATCTTGAACAAATAATTATTCAAATACTATTATTATTATTATTATATTTATTATAATATATTACTGGGTTGGGTTAGGTTACTAGCAGGTTGAAAATACAAAATTCGTTATCTGACCCATACACTACCCGATTTTAATTGGATTGGATTAGGTTTGATCTAGACATTAAAAGAATTTGATCTAAATTCATTGGATTGATTTGGGTCAGTTTAGGTTCGCGAGTTACCCGTACCTGCTTACACTCGTACCCAAAACTATTACTGAGGAATAAAATAAAATAAAAACATGTTAAATATATTTTTCTATTATCTTATTTAAACATTTTCACGATTATCTTTTATAGTTTATAAAAGATATTATGTTTGAACCAAATTTAGGTTATTTATATTTATAGAATTCACGTAATGTATTAAACATAATCAGTTATATTGGGAGGCAGGGTGATTCGAAAAGAGGGAATGAAATTGTGGGAATATGAAGGGCGAAATCGGTCATTTGAAGAAAGCGAAAGCGAAAGCGGTATTTAATTTTGGAGCTAGAGAGAGAGAGAGAGAGAGGGGCGTGTCGTGAAAAAAAGGGTGGGGAGTTAAATAGAGAATTAGAATTAGGATTTAGGCGGTGGAGCGTTGAATCGATGGAAACAATGGCAGAGGCGCATTCCCACTCAACCGTTTATCTCTTCCTCCTCCAATAAGGCAGCAATCCTCTGGCTGCTTCATCCGCATTGTGCTTCCGCTTTCGCGCCGTAAGTCCCTTTGCCCCTCGGCGGGACACATTTGTTTCTTCCTTCCCTCGTTGCCTACTGCGGAAGTTAGTTTCTCCTTCTCCTCTCTCTTTCGCTCACCAACTCATCCATTATTGCTCAATCTGCAGGCTCCCATGGCCGACCTGGGGAAGATACTCTACATAGTCGTGCACGACGACGCCGACAACAAAGACTCCTTCCGTTACACGCGCTCCCTTCTCCAGAGCACGCTCCAGCTCATGGGATGCAAGGCGCGTCACGCCTTCAAGGTTTCCTCTCTCCACCTTCTCCTTTTCATCGAATACACTGTTCGATTTTCAATACTTTCTTCTTCTTTTTTGTTGACCGAGTTCGTTTGACCTGTTTTGTTCCTCTTCCTTGTCCCTTTCACATTCGATGTGATTAGCGTTCTGCCAGATTTTTCTTCCTTTCGCTTCGTCGTTACTTTGACCGCGTTGCATTTGGTGACTAAAAAGGGTTTCGCCTCGCCACGCGCGTGAAATTCAGCCTCTTTTTATTTAATTAGGTTTTTAGCGAGATGTGAATGATGATGCATTCGAAGCGAGGAGCTGTTGTAGGTTATTTATCACTCGTGATTTAAATCGTTGAGTAACGAGATGCGGACAAGTTGGAGAGAAAAGATGCGCTTATTGTGATGCATAATCTGTGGATCGGTACAATATCCAGTTATGCTGGGTTCTTATTTGATGGAAATCGTGTCTCTATCTCTCTAACATGATCGAATCTTGTTAGTTAACGATAGGGAAGGGTCCGAATTCGTGGATCAGAGTGGGTTAGCTTTATTCAGTTATGAAGGGAACTTTATGTTCTTTGGAATGTTGTTCCTTGTTGAGAACCATCAACCTGGTATCAAGTGTGGGTACGACACAAGCCAGAGATATGACATGGATATTGAGATTTGTCTGCTTCTGAAAATTATAAGTTACATCATTAGTCGGGCGCTGCTACGTATATAATCAATATAATATGAGATTAGTTATTGCGTATATTTAAAGAAATAGAAATACTATTATTTATCAATTTATTATCGTGGTTCCTACCATTATTGAAACAAATATTCAAAATTAGTGAAAATTATTTTAGGATGCAGATTAGAGGTATTTGATGATGTTTGAGGAGCATTTGACATGGACACACGTTCAACACTAGTATAGTAGTCATGAAAAATTGATATAGGATGTTTTTTTTTGGTGATTAGTTTATGATGGCATCTTTTAATGGATTTTTATTGGGTAGTTCTTATATGTCTTGGACAGAGACAGCGCATATCTTCATAATTTTTGTGCAAAATTATTTTGACTGTGTTTTTCATTTTCCTCTGAACAGATCAGTCAAAGAGTTTTTGAACTCACAAGGAAAGAGAGTTCTACCGATAATTTGCTGCCTGAAGCAGAGGCTTTATCAGGTTTTGATGCTTTCAAGGTGAATTTAGCGAAGAAAGGTGGTCAACATGCTGATGTTTACCCAGGTAAAGCAGACTTAGGCAACCAAATACCATTGGGGAAAGATTCTAGAATCAAGAGTGTACCATTTGAGTTGTACAAAAGACGCACATCTGCATTTGTTCGGAGAGAAATTTTTCTAGATATTGTCTGCGATGCTCTGGCAGAGTACAAGTATGTGAGTCCTAACCAGAGAGCAGACTTGGTATTAGCCTGCAGGTACTGCCCTGTTTTATTCCTATGAGGGTTATGATCTACATTAGCCTTAATCGAAGAGGGGAAAATAATGCTGACTGGTTGTAGCACATGCTCCGTTGTAGTAAAAACTATTTAAAATTTAGTTATCTGATTTTGTATGATTTGCCATGCTTTCCATTTTATTGATCAAGTTTTTCTAGTAATTGTTACCGTGTTAATACTTAGTTTGATGCATTTATAGAAACTGGACATTAATTTGATTAGGCATTTTGCTTTTGGTGTTATATACGAATTTTGAAATGTCAATATATATCTAGTAGTAAAAAAATTGTGATATACTGGTTTCATGAACTTTCATACTAATAACTTGGATTATTATAACTTGTTTGCCCATCATGGAATAGCAAATTGTGTATATGCTGACCGGGATCAATTTAGATGCTTGAATCTACATTTTTTTAAACATTTGTCGGGTTCAAGCTACATGTATTTACTAGCAATTAATATGTGAGTTATACCTAAAAGAGCAATCAGTATTATTGTTCAAGGCTTATGGAAGTCCAAGATATGCTGATGCACTTTTTAAACCCTTAGTCCAAAATATGCTCTTCCTAACTTCTCTAAATTGTTGGCACACTCTTGGAATTTGACATGTTTGAAATACAACTTTTTGATTTTATGAGAAATCTGAGTTTCCTTTCCAGAAACACATGGAGAATTGTAGATTTCTGAGTTTTCAAAATGACTTGCATGCTGATCTGGTTCTAGTTACCAGGTTAAAACAATACCTCTTTGTTTTCTATTGTATGTTTTTGTAAGTATTTTCTTCTTCCACTTCTGGTTACATGCTGGAAAAAAAAAATCTATGAACTGAGCATTCAATTGTCCCTTAATAGTTGTTTTGGAAGAAATGTTTTCTATTCTTACTGAATTATTGAGCCTTATTATGAAGTACAGCATACAGCATATTGATTTGTGATATCTGTAGGACCCTAATATTTTACTTAAATTTTATACTTATCATGAGGAGTTTATTTTCCAAAATATGTACAACTTATCCTCTTACATTTATGATTATTTTCTTTGGTTGCAGGATCCGTGAACGGAAAGAGTCCGTGACAGTTCTATTGTGTGGCACTAGTGGCTGTGGCAAATCCACATTGTCTGCATTGCTGGTATCTTGACAAATAGAAACAATTTTTTGTTTTTCAAATACAAAATTCTAGTTTTTCCTTAATTTTGTGGTAGGATATGTATGTATGTTGAAATGGTGTAATATTTATACCTTACAGTTCAATAACCATCATTTATATCTCCACTTCAGGGTAGTAGGTTGGGAATCACAACTGTGGTATCAACTGATTCTATTAGGCACATGATGAGAAGCTTTGCTGACGAGAAAGAAAACCCCTTGTTGTGGGCTTCTACATACCATGCCGGAGAGTGTTTGGACCCTGTTGCTGTTGCAGAAGCTAAGGCTAGACGGAAAACAAAAAAGCTGGCTGGTGTTTCGCATTCACTTCCAAAGGATGAAGTACCTGAGGGTCAAAATTCTAGCAAATCAGATATTAGGATGTCAGAGACGAGCTCTGGTCCTACTGAACTGCTAAGTCCAAAACAAATGGCTATTGAAGGATTTAAGGCACAGAGTGAGATGGTGATTGACAGTCTTGATAGGCTAATTACTGGATGGGAAGAACGAAAGCAGTCCGTTGTTGTTGAGGGTGTTCACCTGAGCCTCAACTTTGTTGTATGTTGGATCTTTATTATTTTCTACTATTTGTGTTCTTATGGATGTCAATTTATGTTCTCTTTTGCTAGCAATAAAGACTTGAGTACTCTTGCAGATGGGGCTCATGAAGAAGCATCCTTCAATCATACCATTCATGATACATATTACAAATGAGGACAAGCACTTGGAAAGATTTGCGGTACGGGCCAAGTATATGACACTGGACCCAGCTAAAAACAAGTATGTAAAGTATATCAGAAACATCAGAACAATCCAGGATTATCTCTGCAAGCGTGCTGAAAAGCATTTAGTTCCCAAAATAAACAATACTAATGTTGACAAGAGTGTAGCAGCCATCCATGCAACTGTCTTCAGCTGTCTTCGAAGGCGTGAAGTTGGAGAACAACTATATGATCCTGTTAGAAATACTGTAACAGTTATTTATGAGGAATATAGAAATCAATGTGCAGCCAATTCTTTGAACTCGAAAGGGATGTTTCAATTGATCCAGAGAAAAGGTTCTTCAAGGAATCTGATGGCTCTTGTTAATACTGATGGGTCTGTGGCGAAGGCTTGGCCTGTTAACTTAATTGACTGTAATGGGAAGCCAGTATGGGGCTATGGACCAGAGAATGGAATTGGACATCCAATGTATGGTCCCTTGAGAATTGGCAAGGCAGAACCTGTAAATCTTCAGTTTGGTTTTTATGGGATCAGTGCATGGCCAAGTGATGGTGGCACTAGTCATGCTGGAAGTGTTGACGAGTCTAGAGCTGATGGGACTGATACAGGTAGTAGATACCTATCTTCTTGCTGTAGCTCACCAAGGATGTCGGATGTTGCTGCAAAAGAGGTAAATTTGAACACTTTTAATAAATTTATCTCTGTTCAACAATAAAATTAATGGCTTGTTATTGTCGATGGTGAAAATATTGGATTGTCATTTATTGATTTATTTATTTTTTGTATTTTTTTAGCTCAAGGAGGACTTCTCGGTGCATGGTAGTGATGAAGAGATTGACGATCAACCAGAGGTGGGCAGTGATGAGGATTTCAGTGATGATGGCGACAAGCATGCCCATGAAGAGGTAGACTTGTGTTTTTATGTTTTAACTGATTTATTTATCTGTATATGTGATGACAGTTGGCGTATAGAAGAATTCATTCCAAGTGATTTGAGTAAATTGTAATGTTTGCAGGTAGGATCAGTTGACGAGGAATCAACAAAATCTGATGAAGAGTACGAAGACCTTGCAATGCAAGATGTGCTGGAAAATGGGTATTGGACAGATGATGATGATGAGTTTAGGAATAAGGTTGGTGGTGTTGGCGGGGAGGTAGGAACTAAAATGCATGGGGGAAACAAGTATCGTCGAAACCTTGATCTTTTCCTTAGAAGTAGAAGTGAGCCAGTGGCAATGGCAGCGGCTGTTCAGGAGCCACTGTGCTCGTATTCCTCTTTGCTCCATGAAAGGAGGGAAAGGAAAGCCAAATTAAGAACACGTTCTCTTAGTATTCCTGCATTAGGAAAGCATAATTCAGCAGTCAATGATCCCATCCTTTCTGGTGCTCCTCAGAGGTAACACGGCCATTCCACATTCCATTCCATTCCCTACCCCTAAATTTTGGTGGGTTTTTTTCTTTCTTTCTTTTTTAACATGATGTCCCATGTGTATATAATAGAGCCTCCTAAACTTTCCTTATCTACCAGTTGTTGCTTCATTGCTTGTATGGATGGATGTTGTGTGACAATTTTCGTCAAACATTTTTTTCGAGCTTGTATAAAGTATGGGATTCGCGGAATCAACATTGTCTAAACTTATGCAACATCGCCGTTATCTCCCAAATCCATCCAATATGTTTATGCTTTTGAGTCCATTTTAAGATGCATGACCAGTGTAAATGTTTTTACATTAAATTGTCATCGAAACAAACACACGTCAAAAATTACACCGGATGAATCCGTCAGCACTCAGCAGATTTATCTAGACAATTAGAAATGATAAAGCAAAATAGGTCAATAATTAATTTAGTCAAATACGACTATAATAAGATAAAATGTATACAGAAAATTGATTTTTTTTAAATTTTAATTTTATTGTGAAATAGTTTTAAGTAAGTATAGATGAACACTTTATTTTCAATTATTATTCTATTACATAAATAATATATTTTCTGTTAATTTAAAATTTTATATAAATTAGTTTTTTAAAATAAATTTGTATTACTTAATTACTTATTCTAGTACAATATTATATAACGGTTTAATTTTTGAAGTATTTTCTAATGGAACAATACCTCATATAACATCTCTTTTTGAGGATAGTTATTGTGAAGCCAATTTTTTTTTTGATACACTTAAGTCAAAATTCGATTGGGTAATGTTATTAAATAATACAATTAATGTTCAGAGGGGACCATTGATGTAAACTTGAATGACAGTGAAAGGTCTTATTGTACCATCACAGAAACGTTTTAAACGAGTGATTTTGTCAAACGAAAAACCTTTTATTTTTATGAAGCAACCGGAGGCTCCATTGAAAGATTTTGGTGATACAATAATTGTATATTCAGTGCTGAGTAAATAAATTTATATATAATCAATTTTTAAGTATTATTTATTATTAAGTCAGATAATTTATAAGACTTATTTTATTTATTTATTACGGGTTACATGATTTTTTTATTATTTCAAATATTAGTTTTTTTTAAATTTTAATTTTAGCTATTTTAATCCATTAAAACACGTGAATCGGGATTATAATTTTTTTTTCTCTTTATTTTCTATTTTTCTAAAATTTTAAACTTTGTTTTTAGTATAATATTGTGTGACTTTTTAAACTATTTATGTGATTATTAAAATGTCAAGTAATTATCTTATGGATGATATTCTGCTTCGGTAACATATGAAATCTCAAAAAAAATTCATAGGTCTTTGAAATAAGTATTATTCATTTATTTTATAATGATCATTAGGGACAAAAATAAAAATTTTATATTTTATAAGAATAAAAATAAAAAAAAATATTTTACAAAAATAATATTTATAAATTTTAGAAAAATTAAAAGCAAAGAAAATTTCTTAGCATCCAAATCCAAAACTGACTTATTTTACAAAGAGTAACGTATTTAAGCATTTAATTTTTTATTTGATAATGTTCCGTTAAAATTTTAAAAGCATTATTTATTTAATTTATTATGATCTAATTAGTATTTATTCTTTATTATTGACGATGAAAACATATCTTAGGATTTCTTTCTTTCTTGAGATATGCCAATTTATCATTTTTAATATTGATGATAATATTATCTCTTACATATTTTAATGGTACAATTTTTTACTTATAAGATTTACTTTTAAAAAAAAAAAAGCAAAAATAAACGCACTGGGTCATCCTTGCGCTGGCCTTGCTAATCTTCCTCCACTTTTATCAGATGTCTCTTTGGATAACACAAAACTTCTTATTATATCCTCTTGTAATGTGTTTGACCTAATGGTATTTTGGGTCGTTTTTGTTTGGATTTTGAAATATAAAATAATTTTGGCAGACTGATTTTTTTTATTTTTATTTTTACTAAAATTAGGATTTAGGAGTATTTATAGGATATGAGATTAAAATTTTTAAAAAATAGAGTCGTGAGGTGATTTTTAAAAAATAACTATTTTGACAATTTTTCTAATAATATTATAATCTCACGAGTTAAAAGTGGGAGGTTTTTTTTTTTTTTTTTTT